GCATTTTTTCCTCTTTTTTCTTCTTCTGGTTGAGCTCTGATCATCCAGTCATTGAAGCCAGGCCAAGTGGGTATTATCTGCAAGTGTGGGTATTTAATGCAAGGGACTTTTGAAAGAAATGAGAGGCCAAACATATACTTAGTAATAATTTACTGGTAAATAACTTATTCATAGGAAAAGAATTCTGTATTTTCCCCCCTATTTTACATCTATTATTTCAAGAATTATAAAAATGAATCAAAAGTTATTGCAGTAGCAAATCTCAGATTTTCTAAAATGATCTGTACATTTTACTTTATTTAGTCTTGTAAAATATAATGTTTCTTTTATATTTATATATTTTCACTAGAGAAATAACTGTGATTTAGTGGAACAACACTAGTAATAAGGCCAACATAAACCCATTTAGAATTAATTTGAATTAGGAAGAATGTGGTGTTATTTGGGGAAATTCAGAATGCTTAAAATTATAGAATTTGTTAAATGTATTTTATATTGTAATGGTTGCATATGTCTTTGAGAGGAGAATATTTCTTTCTAAGGAAATATATGCAGACTGAAGCCTTCTAATGTAGGGTAGCTATCAAACTGATTTCCTAATGTTGTCAAATATATGAATTCTTTATTTTAGATCTTCTGGGTTGTTAAAATTCAGAGTAAGATCTTTTTAAGTCTGAGATTCTTTTTAAAATTTAGTCGTGGTTTCTTCTTTACTTTCATGGATTTTTTATTATTTTGTCTTTATCAGATTTTTAAGCTTTGGGGAACTTATGTAAACTTATACAAAATGTGAGACTTGAGACCATCTTTTCCAGTTAGGTACCTACTTTATTGCAGTCTTTTTATTTGATAAATATTTAGGTTACTCTTTAATTTCAAAGAAAACTCATTTTATTGAGTGCTTACTAAATGTTTCCTTTGTGTTACTTAGGTTTCTAGTAGTCATGAGAAAGAAAAAGATTTATTGCATAAAAACCACAAGTTGCAAGATGAAATTGCCGTACTAACTCTGGAGGTAAACACATTAAAAAATCAGAATCAAGAAAAAGAAAAGAAGTATTCTGAGGACATTGAAAGTGTAAAAGAAAAAAATTATGGTCTTCAAAAGACATTAAAACAGAATGAAGAAACATTAACAAAAACAATATTTCAGTATAGTGGACAGCTTAATGTTCTAACAGCTGAGAATGCAACACTAAGTTCCAAATTGGAGAATGAAAAACAAAACAAAGAAAGACTGGAAACAGAAATAGACTCCTACCGTTCTAGACTGGCTGCGGCTATACATGATCACAACCAAAGTCAGACATCAAAACGAGACATAGAACTTGCTTTCCAGAGAGCAAGAGATGAGTGGTTTCGTTTACAGGACAAAATGAAATTTGAATTGTCTAACCTAAAAGATAGCAATGAAACTCTTTCCCAACAACTATCGAAAGCTGAAAGTAAATTCAATAGCCTAGAAATTGAGCTCCATCATACAAAAGATGCTCTCAGAGAAAAGATTTTGCTTTTAGAACGTTTACAAAGAGACCTAAACCAAACACAGTGTCAGATGAAGGAAATTGAACACATGTATCAAAATGAACAAAGTAAAGTGAATAAATATATTGGAAAACAGGAGTCCATAGAGGAAAGATTATCCCAACTACAAAGTGAAAATATGTTGCTTCGACAGCAATTGGATGATGCTCACAACAAAGCTGACAATAAAGAAAGGACAGTAATTAATATTCAAGACCAATTTCACAATATTGTAAAAAAACTTCAAGCTGAAAGTGACAGACAAAGTCTTATGCTTGAAGAGAGAAATAAAGAATTAATCAGTGAATGTACTCATTTAAAAGAACGGATGTATCATTATGAAAATGAGAAAGTGGAACGAGAAGTAAGTATTGAGAAAGGTAAACGTTTTTCGAACTTCTTGAAAGAAAATTCAAAGTAGTATTACATTAAGGTTAAATGTTGAATCTAGATGATTATCAAAATCTGTAAACTGTAACTATATTTGCTGTATCAGCTTAGAAACATGTACTGTATCCAACAAATACTGATTAGACCTCAGAGGTGCTTTGAGTAAAGACATTTTGTTATCTATGAAATCCTAAGAGGTTAAATTATAAATTGTTAACAAGTAGAAACTGGTATTAATAATTTAGTCTTATATTACTGAAGTGATGTGGGAGAAAGGTGATTTTTTTCCCTCTCATAAAGACTTAAAGCCTTAGGAACCTTCCACAGGGTCTCCATGAGTTGGAACTGACTTGGTGGCACACATCCACCACCTTTGAAATAATAATGTTAATGCTTTTATGTCACCACAGTTTAAGACTGTGATGAAGCAGTTGAAGGAAAATGTTCCTAAGTGAATATTTAGAAGCTAGGATTCAGTGCTATGTTTGTTGACATCAACTCCAGATTTCCCAGGTGAACTAGAGGTTTAACCTTATAATAATTCTCCTTTAGTGGCTTTTTATAGATTTCTAATTAGTATAATTGTATTTTTATGTGTGTCAATTTGAATTAAATCTGAAAATCTTTTAGTTCCAAGTCATGTATTCTTATGACCTCTCAAGTCTGAAAATATCTACTTTTTGTTAAATCCTATCAAATGTAGCAAATTTTAGTAAAACCATATTTGATTTAATCCTGCTGCTATATATAATCTACTTTGAACATTTAAAAAACACAGTCAATTCTTATTATTCTCAGTAGTTCCGTTCTTTATATAACGTTCCCACCAATTCAGAAACAGCTCTGTACACTTGGGAGACTTGCTTTTTTTTTTTTGGCTCAGTTCTTGGAATAACTGTCAAAGCGTTGGGAATAGTGATTTTAGAGTTACAGATTCATTTTAGCAAATAGGTGAGTTAACAAATATGGAATTCACGAATAACAAGGTAACAAGGGTCGACTGTAATTTGCTAATAATTACTTCTCGAAACTTAAGTAACTTGTCATTTGGTATTTGTAATTAATCAGTGATTAATTATATTATTATATTTGTCCAATGCAAAGGTAATTATATCTATCTGTGACTTATATTGTTGTTAAGTGCCATCGAGTCGGTTCCAACCCATAGCAACCCTGTATAGGGTTTCCGAGGAACAGCTGGTAAGCTTGAATCGTTGACCTTGCAGTTCAAACCGACTTTGCATTCCAGCACATTAACCCACAGCGCCACACCAGGACTCCATGTTATCATTGGGCTCATCTTTTTAGACTGTTAGATGGTGGGGTTTGTAGTCCTAGTTTGGCGCTATAGGATGAACACTGGACTGCTAACCATAAGGTCGGCGGTTCAAACCCACCAGCTGCTCCTTGAAAACGCCATACAGGGTCACTATGAGTTGAAACTGACTCCAAGGCACTTAAAAACAAGAAGAATGGAGTGAGTAGGGAAGAGAGTTGCGGAAACGAGTCAGGGAGTGTGATGGAGACAAGGATAGGATACATAGGGCCTTGAAGGCTGTTGTAATGACTTCACTTTTATTCTGAGTGAGATAGGGACACATTGGAAGAATCTGAGCAAAAGGTGTGAGGAACTTTGAAGTTAATTTGAACTTCTAATCAGAGTCCTGATGTAGTGCACTGTAAGATGAGCCCTGGACTGCTGATCTCAAGGTTGGCAGTTCATACCAGGAACCTTATATAGGGTTCTTATGAGTTGTAAACAATGCAGAGGCACTTAACAGCAACAGCAGTAATCAGAAAGAGGGGAAAGATTCCACATTGTGGAATTTACTACTACCAGTCCTACCCATATGCCTATTTATTTGTTTATTTTTTTTTTGGTAAGTTTTTATTGTGAGGTTTACATGGAAGAAAATCAGCTTTACACATATCCTATCGTATTTCATTTCATTGCAATGATTACATTCCCCTCCATGCATCATCAAACAACTGAAAGGTACACTACACAGGCCTGCCCCTTGGCCACCAGTACACAGCCCTTCTCCCTCCCTGAGTTAAGTGTCCGCAGCTTCTCCATCTCTCCACAGCATCTTCTCTGTCTCCATTCCTGGTGTCACTGCCTCTCTGGGTAGGGTTCTGTTCTCCACTCTAGACCTCTGTGGCCATGTCACTGCCTCTGGGCCCAGGAGTCCCCGGGTCTTGCCGTACTGCTGGCCATCCAGGTCTCCACCCAGGTTCACGGAGGTCTATTGAATGTGGTTGAGTTTAGCTCACAACTTCATTGCTGTTTTTTCTCCCTTACTGGTGACCAACACGGTCACCAGCCAGACCACATGCCTGCTCATGCATTCCCCTTGAGTCTCAGTCTTGGAAGGGGGTTTGCTCTGCGGGGTCCTGACCACTTGCCTTGACAGCTTACTTGTTCTTGTAGTAATCAATCAGACTGCTGTTACTGTTTCAGATTGTTCCTGCCAGTCTTTCTTTCACAAAGTATCTTCTGTTCTTCTAGCCGCTCCAGGTTGGTCCATTCCAGTGAAAATTTCCTAGCTCAGTAAATTTTGGATGGGGTTCTGGATTCCACCTATGGTCTTGTGCAATGTAAGGGCTCCACAGGAAGCCTCTTTCACTGGGCAACTTCTAGCCCCCTTTAAGGTATTCCAATCAGTTATAGGCTGAAGATGGATTTACAAGCTTTGTGTAGTGATGTTTCTGGCTATTCTTTTCTACCCCCCTCAAGTGT